CTGGATATCCTGAGATATAGTGGACGGACCGGGTACATAGGAAACCCTACCGTGAACGTCGCCTCATTCCGGATGGGGTATCGAGGATTAGTATTTTTGGTGCTCATACCAGACTGGGTATGGAGACGGTCCGATTCACCCTCATATCGGACGAAGTATTGAAGGATGATATTTTTTACACTCATACTAGATGGAGTATGGGACGGTCGGTTAGTAGACAATGTTGAATATTGGTTTACGCGTAATGAGACATCTTTATTGGCTTTCAGGGATACCAATAGGCAAATAAAAATGGAAAGTTATTATTCTTACTCACTTGAATATGAGATTGGAATGTTATTTGAGTTATTGTCTCTATAGTTCGATTTTGTAAATATCGCAAATGGTAAATATATATAATAAATGATTTTCCTTATGATAAATAAATTTGCTTAAATTAAGAGCTCTATTGGTTGTTTTTATAATTTTTATCAACCTTCAGTTTCTGTATCGGTGAGTAGTGTGATATTCTTACTGGATTAGTGTAACTCACTATTTCATTAACTATTTTAGATCAAAAGGAACAAGACTCAGATCTCAATTAACAAGAGGGTTGTGAATAGTTCACCACCCGAATTCCCTTTAAAAACTAGTAAAGATCGTCCTAGAATGCTCAACATATTATTTTTTATTTATTTTCTTGATTTTATTTGTTTTTTTAGAATGGTCGTTTCTGTAATCCTATTAGATATTCTAAATTATTGTGTAAGGAATGTAAACCCTAAACTCTATTGTTTCGCTTCCGCATTTAATTCATTACTTCATTTTCTTTTAAGTTCCGGGTTTTTACATATAAAGTATATATGTATTATACATATATAGATAGGACAAAAATGTTTTGGTGTTATTATAAAGACATATACTTAAAAACATATATTGGGACTTAATTATCCATCAATATTGTATCTATGACACTAAAACAAACTACTAATACTGAAAATGTAATCAACTTAGGAGAATTTGATAATAGAAAATAACTTTTAATATTTTAAGTTGAGACACTATTATTATCCTATATTATATTTTGTTATACAAAAATAAATTAGTAATTGTGAAAATATAATCACCTTATGAAGAATTGAGATAGCTTTCAACAAGATATCAAGTAGGTATTTGGGACGACTTCAACTTGTGTTATAAGTTTTAAAAATACAATTAAAATAACTCTTAACTAAAAATATTTTAATAAAAAATTATTTAGCGTATAATAAAAATACTTATAAAAAATATTTTTTAATAAATGATAACTTGTGCACGTGTGTGTATATATATAAATATATTAAAATGATTATACTAAATTTTTAATTCATTGTGACTATCTCAATTAATAAAAATTAAACTTCACATAATATTAATTTTATTTAAAAATATAATAGATTCATTGAGATTTAATTTAAACTAATCACTGATGTTTTATTAATACACTAATGAAATAAATATTAAACATTACTGAATCAATATAATATGTGATTTGTTATATTTGATCTCTTGAGCAAACTAACATGAAAATTTGAAATATATATATATATATATATATATATTATATGTGCACGTATGTATAATATACCTTTAGAGGCATGCATCCAACTTATTTTTCTCAAAGTTGACATGAGAATTGTTTGTTCGGATTACGAGGTCAAAGAATCTTTTGTATCTTACCAATTGCCTTCATACATCAAAGTGAAATAGAAAATTATTTTTTAAAAAAGTGAAATAGAAAATTATTGGAAACCCAACAATTAATATAATTATTGGAAATTATTATATCTTAAGAATTAAATGGGTCCATTAATTATAACCTATAGTGCTTGTTAAACCTAATGTGTTATTAAATTGATACATTTTTCACTTATTTTAAATTATTCATAAGTAGAAAGATGTACATTATTATTTAACTATTATTTCACTGTATTTATGCCTTCATTGAATCTTCAAAAAAATTTAAAATTAAGATTTTGTTGATTTAATTTTTTTTTTTTTGAAAAAAAATTAAATACTTTTGTATTAGAAGAACACAATAATTTTAATTTTTTTTATTTATTTTGAAAATGTATTATTTTTTCTGTGATATGTGAAAGTATTTTTTGATAAGAAAAATAATTAACCACGTAGAAAATTAATCTCAGGACATGTTATTTTATTTCATCGTGATTAATTCAAGTGCATTTCCGATTTATATTGCAATCTTGTTGATTTGATATGAACATCTGAATTTATTTTCATAAAGAATGAATTTTCAATATTTTTTTTTATATTTTCATTTCATATGTCTTTCAACGTATAAAAACATATAAGATAGATAAATAAAAATAAAATTAGAAGAGAATAAAAATTACTTTTAATATTTTTAAGAAACTATTTTTATTTACATTCATTATTCCTTAAAGATTTTGGACAATAATTAATGTTATTTCGGTTTCTATTGTTTAATTATCTCTAAAAATAAGAATTATTATGGTCTAGATATTTGTATTAAATATATTTGAGATAATATTATTTGTTTAAAATTAGTAGTCATTAATTAATTATCTTTAATTATTAATAATCTAGGTAGCTTTATCCAACCATGGATCCCCCGATTACGGATCTATTTTCAGTTTGACTTGGAAAATTATAAGATTAACAATTTAATCTTAAAATTGTAGAGGGTAAATAGTGATTAGTTCCTGGATTAGGCATAATTAAACAATTTAATCTTCCATGTGGGACTTTATAGAGCTTATGTTAGGAGCTACTAAAAAATTACTATGAAGTGTATATAGTGAATTTTTTAATAAGAATTTATGTAATTTAATAATTAGATAATGTTGTATATATATATATATGTTTGGGCAATAAATCCATTGAACATTGACAAACAATCTTGGTGTTACCTCAATGGCCGTATTGTCTTCATATCCCAGAACCAGTTACATCAAATACGCTCCTTCTCAGCTGGCATCTTCATGAATCAATATATATATATATATATATATATATATATAATTGACTTTAATAATTTGTCTTCTTTATAATTTTTTTTTTCTAATTATTGATTTTTATAGATGCTAATTTATATTGTAAACCATAATTACTTGACAAAATTGCTTTTAATTTCCTTCATGACAAATGGGTATTGGAGTTGCATAACGTGATGCCAAGAAGAACGTGAGGGAAGAGCATTACAGGCTTGCAGAATATGTAAGTTATCCTTGAAGTCCGGTGTAGATCATGTGAGAATGAGGGTTCATGGTAAGAAGGATCTTGTATAAACAGAGAACTATTCCTCCCCCCCCAAGTTTCTCTTTCATTTGAAAATTTAATAATTAAATTAGGATAATCAGATACTGCCAAAACAAATTTCAATTACCACAAAGCAAGCTACTGTCCTATAAATTCCAGCTCCCTTCTCCCTTCTTCTCCATGCCCTTTCTTTTGAAGTTGCAGAGGCTACTGGGTATCTCGCATTTTCACTGTGAGTTGATAGCTCTCTCATTTTTCCTGCTTTCTTCTTAGTCTCTTTCCTCTTTCTTTAATTCTCTGTTTGTTTCCTGAGAAAAATGTATGTAAAAAAAAAAAAAACACCCATCAAGTAGAATTTTACTTTTCAATTCTGTCATGGAAACCTCGTGCTCCAACTGGGTCTCCCTTGCTTTTTCTATACATGGTTTTATGAGGTTCCTGCTGCTTTTTATCTTCTAGCTTTTTAGCCATTTATAGCGGAAAGAACTCTGCTCTGTGTATCTTTCAAACTTCACCTTTATGCCTTGTAGAATAATACATTTTTTTTTCTCTCTTTTTCTGATTGACATAATGTGTCATCCTTGAATGAGATTCAGCATTCAAATGGTGTTGTTTCCATTTTCGTCAGCTAGAACAAGTATAAACCAACAAGTTTAGATTCTCAGAAACCAAACAAAGAGTAAAAGTCATTATTATATATCTAGTTCCTTGTTTTACTTCATTCATTTTTTTGTCTTCGTTTTCAGAACAGTGTTTCCCTGCTGGCCTCAATTATAATATTTATTGTGTGTTCAAATTATTGTGCCTAGGGTTGTTCATTAGTTGTTTTTGTTTAGGTGGGACCTGTATTACAACTATGAGCTCAACGTGAGGGATAATTTGACTTTTAATTAATAAACAAATTAATAATGATTTTTTATACAATGAATTAGGATGGACTATAGATTATTTTAGCTTTCCTTTTCAACTTTCAAACGGATTGGTTCGTGGAATTGTCAAATCAGAGGTCACGTTTTTATAAGATTCATTATGTTATCTGCATTTGTATATTGTTCTGTTTACATTTCTTTTAGCTCATCTTTGCCAAGTATTGTGTTGGAAGTTTTGTACTATTTTGCTTCTTTGTGGCCCTTTTAACTTTCAATGTTAAGCAATTACCTTAGCATTCTCAATGTCTATAACAAAAGCATTGCAAAAGTTCTTGTCTCAAACCAGGAGACTAACTAAGCAATATGCTTGTTTTGATCTGAAGGCAGTCAAAGGTACAATCATGGCGAGAATTCCCACGTTTGTGGTGGCACTTTTGCTCTTGTTGTATTTGTCAAGAGCAGAATACATGAAATATAAGGATCCAAAACAGCCACTGGCAGTTCGAATCAATGACCTGTTCAAGAGAATGACGTTAGAGGAAAAGATAGGACAAATGGTGCAAATTGAACGCAGTGTTGCATCGGCTGAGGTTATGAAGAAGTATTTCATTGGTAATCTTCATTGATCATTCTTCTTCCATCCATGAGATAACTGTTTTGACCCAAATGTGATGAAGAGAGATGAAGGCCAAGAATTCTGCATTTTACAGGAAGTGTGTTGAGTGGGGGAGGGAGTGTTCCAAGCAAACAAGCTTCTGCAGAGACTTGGATCAATATGGTGAACGAATTTCAGAAGGGTGCTTTATCGACCAGGCTTGGAATTCCAATGATTTATGGCATTGATGCTGTTCATGGACACAACAATGTCTACAAGGCAACAATCTTTCCCCACAATATTGGCCTTGGAGCTACCAGGTAGGTTCATATGCCTTTCTGCAGTTTATGTTCGTATTAAATGAGTAATTGTCAGCCACCAAATATCATGTAGTTTAAAGCTTTAATTTCTAAAGGCATCATTGGGAGATATCTTTATATTTCGTGAATAGGGATCCTCAGCTTGTTAAGAAGATTGGAGCTGCAACTGCATTGGAAGTTAGAGCTACAGGCATTCCATATGTCTTTGCACCTTGTGTTGCGGTACTTAAATCAAATCCAGCGTGTCAACCGCTCTGATATATGAGACTTCAGCATAATTTCTAATTGATTTAATTGCTTTTGACTTTTCTTTTCCATGTAAAGGTTTGCAGAGATCCAAGATGGGGTAGATGTTATGAGAGCTACAGTGAAGATCCAAGCATTGTTAAGTCAATGACTGAAATTGTACCAGGTCTGCAGGGGGATGCTCCTCCTGATGGCAAGGGTGTCCCTTACGTTGCTGGAAAGTAAGAATTTCTAACAATTACAAGTGCTATTTACTTCTCCTCTTTATATTCTGTAGTACCCAACTATTTTGATATCTTGGAGGAACATTGACTGCTGTTATACTTAGCTTTCAGATCACTTGATATAATAGCAGATAATTCTAATGACTACCATGTTGTGCACAAAAGAGAAAGTTTTGTTTCTGCAAGTAACTAATTTTGTCATTTTGCTTATTCACTCCAGTTCTCATCCAGTTGACATTATCAAGAAACCAAAAAAAATTGAGTTTTGCTTCCTTAAAAATGTGACAGGACATCTAACTATCTAAAATTAGTGGTTTGTTGAAACTATAGAATGAGATTTTAGTCCAAGGTATTATGTAGATGATGCATATTATATGTTGTGTTTTAGTAAAACTAAAAAGTAGCAGTTAGCTGTTGCTGAGGAATGGCATGAACCATGTGATCCACTTTAATATGTCATGGTGTACAACAAACAAGAGGAGGACCCACCACACACGCACAAACAAGAAAACAACAGTAAAGAAACAATGGCTTCTACTTGTGGACTCCAAAGCCTCTTAGTTGTCTACTTTATTTTGTTAGTGCCTCAAATTAGATATATGCTTGGTAGTTTGTATCTTTCAATTAAGGTAGGTAGGTGGTTCCTAGAGGAAATACGTAAAAAATTGTCCAAGCTTTCTGAGGAAGCATTTTAGTAGATGATTCCTGACGTGAAAATTTAATACTTTATTCAATGATAATGTCCCCAACTTACCTTTGCAGACAGCTACTTGCAGGCCAATTTGACTAAAGGCCTGAAGTGAGGATTAAAAGAAAAGATTCATTGTCACAAAGCCAAATCTCAGTAGACTAATTCATTATTTTTTTGGGCACTTAGGTATAATGTTGCAGCTTGTGCCAAGCACTATGTGGGTGATGGTGGAACAACAAATGGCATCAATGAGAACAACACTGTAATAGACAGACATGGGTTACTTAGCATTCATATGGCAGGCTACTATACCTCAATTATAAAGGGAGTATCAACTATCATGGTTTCTTACTCAAGCTGGAATGGACTTAAAATGCATGCTAACCTCGAACTTGTCACCGAATTTCTCAAGGGCACTCTCCGCTTCAGGGTATAACCATTTGCTGCGGATTTAGATATCTGGTTTCTCTGGATTTGACTTCTAGCATTTTATATAATCAACTGAAAGCAATATGGAAATTGTGTACAATGTTTCAGGGTTTTGTGATTTCAGACTGGGAGGGTCTTGATAGGATTACGTCTCCACCTCACGCTAACTATTCATTTTCCGTTCAGGCTGGAATAAGTGCCGGCATTGATATGGTTATCCCTTTATTCCTTTGAGGAATTTTATTCTCTTCTCACCTTTTTATTGTTTTCTCAAGTTTCATTCTTTAAATTTGTTGGGGCAATCTTGCAGGTTATGGTTCCATTCAACTACAAAGAATTCATAGATTTGTTAACCTTCCAAGTGAAGAACAATATCATTCCCATGAGCCGCATTGATGATGCAGTTAAGAGAATCTTGAGAGTTAAATTCGTAATGGGTCTATTTGAGAACCCACTTTCTGATACTAGCCTTGTCAGTGAGCTTGGGAAACAGGTCTGCTTGAATATTTCAAACCTGAAATTGGAAGATGAAGAAAACATATTTATTCATAAAATATATCCTCACTTTTTCCTAACAAATCCAACAGGAGCATAGAGACTTGGCTAGGGAAGCTGTGAGGAAATCACTTGTACTTCTA